TTTTTTTTTTTTTTTCTAGTGTGGGCTGCAGCCCTCTCCGAAGACCGTATTAGATATCACGCGTTCCCTTTGGCTTTAACTTACCCTCCCTTCGCAGTTAGAGGAGAGTGTATTCCGTGACTGCGCAGGATTTATTTTTTTTTTTCTGCGTGTGTTGTATTATGAAAAGTTGCATCAAGTTTATTTGGAGATTGTGATTGCAAAACAAGAGACTCAGGAGTTTAATAGTTTACATTTGATTTGGTAAGGATTCCAACACACCTCTCTTTGCCTAGGACAGGCTTTCTCAACCTACTTAATCACCCCGCAGCTTTTGCTATTGTGTAGGCAGGAGTGCGGAATCTCACAGACAGCGTCGAAAGAGTTATGATCCGAGGGATTTTTATCCATGTCGAGAAGCCTGCTTGAGATCCACATGGTCCCCTTATTTAGAGATGGTGTGACGGATGACAGGCGCGGCCCGGTCTCTGCGCCCGCCGCCCCCGGCGCCGCCCGCCCCTTTGTCTGGGCGGCCTGATGGCCCCGCTGAGTCGTCCGGAACGGGGAGAAGGGGCGAACCGGGCCCTGGGCGCGCTGTGCCGCGGGAGCCGAGCGGGGCCGCGGTGGGAGCGGCCGGCCCGGACGGGGTTAACGGGAGAGCCCGGCCCGTCCCGCGCAGCCCCGCCGCGGCGACTCGAGTCCCGAGGGGACGAAGCCTGCGGTTCCGAATGCTCGGGACTTGTGCCCCCGGAGACTTCGCCCTGGGACCTGCGGGTGCACGGCTTCGGGAAAGAAGTTGAGAATTTTGCCAGGTCATCTCTGCCTGGGCACAGTTAATCAGTGTGTGCTCAAGTGTGCCTGCTTGAAGCGCTCCAACTGTGTTGAATCAGCGTGCCTAACCTCCGGGGCGCATCGTGAAAACCGAAACCGCGGGGAGTGGTAGAGGCCTGCTTTGTGTGTGTGTTTTTCCCACTTTCATCTTGTTTTCCGTGTTCGTGCTCTTGTTTTAAGCCCGGTTGGACTGTGGCGAGCACACGTCTGTTCCCAGGAGGGGCAGTGACCACAGTGCTTTGACGGGGAGCTTGGTAATGTGGAACTCTTTTTTAAAATTCTGTCTCTGGACACTGGCTTGCTGTGTGGTTCTGGGCAAGTTACTTTCTGAAGTACGCTTTTTCTCGAAAACAAGCTTGATGGAGGCCGTAAATGACCCTTCCGAAGTGCTTTGCTATCCCAGAAGTAAAGATGAACTCTTAATTTCTTATGCAGAAGTTAGTGGTGAGAATTTTTTTTTTCTTGCAGATAGTTTATCTTACGTAAAGACCCACCCAGATCATAACAACCATCAGCTTTGACGCTTCCACTTTCGAGTTCAGCCTTTGAATTTCAGGAAACTACAGGCAATTTTCCCTTTCTTATAATTTTTCTTTCCGACGTAGGTATTGCTTTTGCAAACGTAAATGACACATTAGCAACAGTGATATGCATTTCTGCAAATCTTTTAATGTCAGGTTTCATAGAAGACAGGCTCTTAAATCTGCATTTAGTATTGTACAACACCATGTAACCTCTGGAAAACACCGCTGTATGCTCATTTGTTGTTGTTGTTGTTGTTAATGTGTCATTCCTATCCTGTTTGCACTGTGTACGTCAAATCAGCATGTCATGCAAGACACATTTTCAGAATGTGGGTATATTTTTTTCTCTTGAGCCCTGACTTAACAATTGGGATTTAGGTGCATAAACAGTAACATAGATGAAGATTGCATAATCATATGATTCTTCAGACTCAGGGACATTTGGAAATATCCTAAGTGGTTAAACTTAATTCTTAGTTCTGGGGCATATTTTTTAATATGCACAAGCAAAATGTGAATTCCACATTAGCTGTGCTTATGAAAATTTGTGTGTGAACGTGGTCTTTGAAAGCACCATAGAAGCTCCAGATTTCGAAGGAGCCCTGCGGTGAAACCTTTGGTGAAACAACGAACAGTTTGTGTATGTGCCCTTAGAGTTTTCTGTGCCTTTGAGTCAGTCTGGGTTCCCTAGGTTGGGGGATGTTTATATGCTAATGTGTAAAAATTTAAGATCATACTCGGGTTTAATGGTTTTGAAAAGAAGCTAAATTTATTTCCAATTGTTTCTGTGAACTCTAGTCGGAATCTGTCAGTATGTAGTTCTCTGCCATCAACAGGAAGCATCTGGTCAATCTTCATGTAGTTGTTAGAAAACGCCAGGTGTATTTTTAATGTTTGCTGTTCAAATGAAAGTAAATTGGATCTTGATTACTGTTACTTGATTTTAGTTTGGTTTCTTCCTCTCATTTTTATTTTTTTAAAGCTTTTTATTTGAAAGTCAGAGTTGGGGGGCAGGGCAGAGGTCTTCCATCCCCTGGTTCACTCCCCGGATAGGCAGAACAACTGGGACTGGGCCAGGTCAAAGCTAGCTTCATCCAGGTCTCCACGTGGGTGGCAGAGCCCAAGTCATTGGGCTATTAGCAGAGAGCTGGATTGGAAGTGGAGCATCCGGGACAGGAACCAGCACCCATATGGGGTGCCAGTGTCACAGATGGCGTCTGCCCGCTATGCCACAATGCCAGCCCCCCCTTTCATTTTTAAAGTGTCTTTATAATGGGTCTCATTTTTTGTAGAAGGGTTGCTGTTTTTGTGCTTAAGTACCTCATAAGTTTAAAATAACAGCAGATAAACATGAAAAATTCAGAAGTCATTAACGAGAACTTGTGAATTGCGATTTCTTTTTTGAGTGCCTGCAAGGCTCTTAGCAGTTTCCCTTTCTAAGTATCCCAAGTGTGGAAGAACTCACTGCTGGGACCTGTCACTTCCCTCTGACTTTGCAGACTTTTAAAAACAAACCCAAACAAAATGTCAAGGGTCAGGACAACTGAATGTAGTTTTATGTTTTCTAATCACAAATAATTGTACATATTTATGGAGTTCAGTGTGATAATTCAGTGCATGTATACAATGTGTAATGATGAAAGTAACCAAAACTTCTGTATCCTTAAACATTTACTGTTTCTTGGTACTGGTAACCCTCGGACTCCTGTTTTAATTCTTCATAAAATATGTAATAAATTGTAAACAGTAGTCACCCTATTTGAGGGCAACTTAGTTTAATGAGTATCATTCCTTTGGTTCCATGGCTTTCTAACTAATAATATTTCTGTTGCACTAACTTCTCTACTTTGAGACAACTATAATGAGTGTTCATTTTCTGATGATGTTTGTTCCGTTGTGCTCTCCGGAAGGTGAATCTAGCACGAGTTAGATGAGACTAGGGCCTGTGTGTTTCCTCATAGGGTTAACCTTGCAGTGGTCCGCACCGAGAAGATGCTTTGGTGCAGTTAGCCATCAGTTCAGCTGTTGTGGGCCAGAGCACCTTTGTTTGGGCAGTGTGTATCTAATGGAAGCATCGAGGCAGTAGGTTGAAGTGATTTCTCTACTAAATTCATTTCGCAGGACTACTGATATTTTAAGTAGAAATCTAAAACTCTTGGAGCTAGTGTGTTCTCTCTGAGAGAAAAAGCAAGAGAGAAACAGAAAGACAGCCCCATCTCTGGTTTGTTCTCCAAAATTTACTGATAGCCAGAGCTGGGACTCTGCAGGACCTGGGACTGGCTGGGCTAAAGCGCTGGTTCTGGGAACACAATCTGGGTCTCCCACGTGAGTAATAGAAATCAAATTGCTTGAGCCATCACCACTGCCTCCCCAGGTCTGCATTGTCAGGAAGCAAACCCAGGTACTCTAATATGAGATGTGGGCATCTTAACTGCTGGGTAAAATGTTCACTCCCTTCTCTTACTTTTTTTTTTTTTTTTTTAAGATTTATTATTTAGTTGAAAGAGTTACAGATGGAGAAGGAGAGACAGAAAGAGTGATTTTCTGTCAGCTGGTTCCCTACCCAGATGGCCACAACCACCAGGTCTAGACCAGGTAGGAGCCAGGAGCTGCTTCTGGGTCTCTCATGTGGGTGGCAGGGGCCCAGGGACTTGGGCCATCCTCCATTGCTTTCTCAGGTGCATTTGCAGGGAGCTGGACCAGAAGTGGAGCAGCTGAGACTTGAACTGTTGCCCATATGGGATGCTGGTGCCACAGGCGGAGCCTGTGCAATGGCGGTAGCCCCCTCACTGTACATTTTAGTATGAGTCAACGCTTCTGTGTAATTTTTCAAAAAACTAAATGTTTCTCTACCTTTCAAAACAAAAAAATTTAAAATGTTTAAGTTGGTAGAATAGCAAAGAAGGTCTTAGCCCTACTTTAAACTTGGTACTGATCCTATTATACTTGGCATGGTGTATCAACTTTTTAGGTAGCATACTGTCAGGCTGTTAAGTGGGACCTTGTGTCTAATACTCTGTCAGAACAACCTGGAGAGCTAATTAAAAAACATCCGTGGGCATTTGGCACAGCACTTAGGCCACCTCTTAGGACTCCCACACTTCATGTCAGAGAGCCTCTGTTCCAGTCCCGGCTCTTTTCTGCATTCTAGTTTGCTGCTGATACATGTCTTGGCAGCAGGTGCTGAGGCAGGTACTTGAGTCCCTACCACCCATGGAGGAGACCTGGATTGAGTTCTCACTCTTGGTTTTGGCCTGACCCAGCCTCTCTGTTGTGGGCATCTGGGGAGTGAACCATGAACCAGATGAGATCTCTCTTTCTCTACCTTTCAGATAAGTCAAACAAAAACAAAACAGCAGCAGCAACAACAAAACAGACTGTAAAAACCGAAGTAGGATAGGACCTGGGCCACTGTAGTTTTTGTTAAGTTCCCAAGGTTGATAGAGATTCAGGTTTAAAAATCACTGGATACAGAGCATAACGAGGGGGACTTTGATTGTAGGGGAAATGGATAAGAGGATATGTTGATAACAAAGGGTTTTTGGGTAAAGAGTAGTAGCTTCTGTAAGAAATAACAGCCAACTGTCTGATCAAGTTTGATCTGAGAAATTAAGGTCAGTGGGTAGAAGTTAAGTTTGAGATTTATTTATTTGAAAGGCAGAATGACAGTGATATTCCACTGGCTTGCTCCCTGTATGGCTATAGTGGCTGGATGGACCAGGCCAAAGCTAGGAGTCCGGAACTCCATCTGGGTCTCCCTTGTGGTGGCAGGGGCCCAAGCACTTGGGCCATCATCCATGGCTTTCCCAGGTGCATTAGGGAATTGTATTGGAAGTGGAGAGCTGGGATTTGAACCGGAGCTATTGTACAGGATGCCAAGCATTGCAAGCAGCAACTTAACCCTCTGTCACAAGGCCAGGCTGTAAAATATTTTCCCAGAGAAATTTCCTCAAAGTTAAAAATAGGAGGGGTTGTTTGGGTGATAGGCTGTGTCTGTTCACTAACAGTGCCCAGGTTGGAGCTTCCGAAGAAACTTTGCTGAAGGAGGAGTTGGGCTAGGTGTCCTTAAGTGCTTTACAGACTGAAATTTTATGGAATATGTCTAGATTTGCAGTACCTAGTGGAAGAGAAAAGCTAATTGAGTTAAATGAGCTGGTTAGCTTAACTGCATTGTAGTTTTGGCCTTCTTGGATAAAGAGAAATGAGTTTTAAATGAGGGTGTTATTGAAGGCCTTTAAGCCAAGCTGTAATTTGGCAAACTGAAAAGCCTAATGGCCCTATCTTCTGACATAAGTTGCCATTTAAAGGAATTTATCTTGGAGTCCATGTTGTGGTACAGCCTGTAAAGCGGCTGCTTGGTTATGCCAGTGACTGCGTCCCATTTTAGAGCACAGCAGTTCCAGTCCCAGCTGCTTCTGATCCCAGTCCCTGCTAATGCACCCGAGAAGGCAGTGGAAGATGGCCCAGGTACTGGAGTCCCTGACTCCCATGTGAGAGACCTAGATGGAATTCCTGGCTCCTGGCTTCAGCCTGGCCATTGCGGCCCTTTGGGAAGTAAGCCATTGGATGGATGTTCTTTTTTCCCTTCTCTCCCCCTTTGTCATTCTGCCTTTCAAGTAAATAAGTCTTTTTATTAAAAATTGGGGGGCTGATGTGTGATGTAGTGGGTTAAGCAGTCTCCTGCGACAGCAGCATCCCATATGGGTGCCAGTTTTTGTCCTGTCTGTTCCACTTCTGATCCAGCTCCTTGCTATTGTAGCTGGGAAAGCAGTGTAAGGTGGCTCAAGTGTGTGTTCCCCTGCACTCATTGGGAGACTCTGATGAAGCTCTTGACTTCAGCCTGGCCCACCTTGGCTGTTGCAGCCATTTGGGGAATGAATCAGTGGATGGAAGATATCTCTTTCTCTAACTCTGCCTTTCAAATAAATCTAAAAAAAAATTATTTTATCTTGATGTGGTTAAAATGTTTATGAAGAGTGAACTCTCAACATAGCAGTTGCAGTGTTGTTGACAGTAAAAGCTGTGTATTAATGCATTTAAGCGCTACAGTAACATGAAGTGGGTAGTATTAGCCCCACTTTTCTTAAGAGAAAACTGAGGGAGAATGAAATGAGGTCCGTTGCCCAGGGTAGCTGAGTTCTGGAACCAGGACTTGATTCTAACCACTGTGACTCCAGAGCAAGTACTGTTATTACTATGCTGTAAAATTGTAAACAATCAGAATGTCTCTCAGAGATTATTAGGATACATCTGTACGGGGGAGGGGGGGGGCGGCGCGGCGCGTAATGCTTATGTAGCCATTCAAATGATAGAAGATTGTAAACACATGAAAAGATGTCTCGGTGTGTGTAATTGAGAAAACTAGATTATAAAACAGTTCCATCTTGGTTAAAAAAAATACATTGAGATTTGGATGGATTTGTGCCGAATTGTTAAGTGGTTATTTCTGAATATAGTTTTATAAGAGATTGTTTTCTTTTTGCTTATCCAAATTTTGAAAGTTCTACAATAGACACTCATTTTTGTTACTTGTAGTTATAAATACAGTAGTATAGAATTTTAAATAAAAAGATGTAGCATAAGTTGAAGAATTTAGATTTTGTTATGCAGTTTATAAAAATGGACTTGTTGGGGGCTGGCAGTGTGCTGTAGTGGGTAAAGCTGCCATCTGCAGTACCAGCATCCCATATGGGTGCCAGTTCGAGACCCCGTTGCTCCAATTCTGATCCAGCTCCCTGCTGATGCTGCTGGGAAAGCAGTGGAAGATGGCCCAAGTACTTATTGCACCCACATGGGAGAGCCAGAGGAAGCCCCTGGCTCCTGGCTTCAGCTTGGCCCAACTCTGGTAGTGAACCAGTGAATGGATGATCTCTCTCTGCCTCTGCCTCTCTGTAACTCTGCCTTTCAAACAAATAAATATTTTAAAAAATTGGGAATTGTACATAAATGAGGATTTGTGAGTCCATGAAGTGTTTTGCTTTTTTTTTTAGAAACTTTTGATTCCTCACCATTCTAGAAGTAATGTCTAATTGATTAGAGAAAACCATCACTAACTCCTTTTAGTCTACCCAGTCAGCTCTATTTTGTTGTATTTTCTTCATCTTACATGTAATATGTTAAGTGTCATATTCATCTCCGTCATTCTGTAGCTGTGTGACATTAGGTACTCTACTTAATCTCTCTGCCTCAGTTTGCCCCTTGTAAAATGGGCATTAATATGATACCTATCTCATGGGGGTTGGGAAGATTAAATGAGTTAGTGCACATAAAGTGATCAGAACAGTACCTGACATAGTTAATAACTGCAAATGTTAGCAATTGTATTATAGGATCACAGTCCATAATTCAAAACCCTTAGAGTCTAATAGATTTTGGAGTTAACAATTTTGGGGGATATAAACAAGTTAATAATGTTATGTAACCTTCCAAAAGAGTCCAGTGTAATTCTTCAGGGGCTGGCGTGGGGTACTGGGTGAGGCCACTGCCTGCAACACCGACATCCCATACAGGCACCAGTGCATGTCCCTGCTGTTCTACTTCTGATCTAGTTTCCTGCTAGTGGCCCGGAAAAAGCAGCAGAAGATGGCCCAAGTGCTTGGGCCTCTGCCACCCACGTGGGAGACCTGGATGAAGCTGTTGGCTCCTGGCTTTGGCCTGGCCCAGCCCTGGCCATTGAAGCCATCTGAGGAGTGACCCAGGGGATGGAAAATTGTTCAGTCTGTCTATCTAACTCTGACCTTCAAATAAATAATTAAATCTTAAAAAAAAAAAGCTCTTCAAAGATGTTAAGTTTTCGCAGTAAAATGTGTCAACATTTATACCAAATGGGATAAAGCCTATACACCGTTGCATATTGATTCAGGTAAGGTTATACTGCTAGATGAGTTATTTTGGGTTTCAGAGCTTTTTTGAGTTTTATAACTACAGATAAAGAACCTGTAGAATACTTAACTTTGAGTCTATTTTAATGTTGAAACATCTTTTCATGTATAGAGCTTTATAGTGCATGGTAAGTTTAAAAAATGAAAATAATGAAAAAAATTTCCATTTTCTTTGATTAAAAATGTACTAAGCCCACTGATAGTGTGAATCTGTTTTTAAAAATATGCTAAGCCCACGGACACTGAATCACTATATGATGTAGAATCTTTAGTTTCTAAAAGAGACTTGAGAGTTTCTTTTACCCAGTTAGCTTGTTTGTTTCATTACACTTAGGGATACTTCTACTCTGGTGGTTTACTACAGTGGTGATTCCTTAAAGTGGAAAGATGGGGGTCCTTTCCATTCTGTGGATACAGAGACTGAGGTGATTATTTAGAAAATTACAGTACTGAACTTTGATATGCGGTCAGTTCTTGTGATGAAGCTATTGCATGTGCATTCCCCTCTGATTTCTCTATTCCTTAACATTGACAACACTTACCATGTGTCCAGAGGGAAAATATTTTTATGGTGTATAAGTGAGTCACTTAAAAATTTAAATCTTACATGGCCGTGTGGGACTCTCTGACCTTGCTGATGAGTTACTCTCTGTGTTCCTTCACCTGCTCTATTTATAAGGATCCTTCCTACCTTTTTTTTTTTTTTTTTTGGACAGGTAAGAGTTATAGGCAGAGAGACAGAGAGAAAAGTCAGCCTTCTGTTGGTTCACCCCCCAAATGGCCACTATGGTTGGTGCTGCGCCGATCCAAAGCCAGGAGCCAGGTGCTTCTTCCTGGTCTCCCATGCGGGTGCAGGGGCCCAAGCACTTGGGCCATCCTCCACTGCCCTCCCAGGCCACAGCAGAGAGCTGGACTGGAAGAGGAGCAACAGGGACTAGAACCTGGCACCTATATGGGATGCCAGCGCTGCAGGCAGAGGATTAACCAAGTGAGCCACGGCGCTGGCCCTCCTGATATGGTTTGAATACCTGTGTTCCCCTAAAATTCATGTTTTCATTTTTTTTTTAATATTTACTTATTTGAAAGAGGGAGAAAGAGAAATCTTCCAGTTGCTGATTCACTTCCCAAATGGATACAGGGGCCAGGGCTGTGCCAAGCTGAAGCCAGTGCCAAGAGCTTCATCTAGGTCTCCCATGTGTGTGGCAGGGGCCCAGGCGCTTGGGCTGTCTTGCTGCTGCTTCTCCCAGGCCATTAACAAGAGCTGAACCAGAAGTGGAGCAGCTGAGACATGAACCAGTGCCCATATGGGATGCCAGTGTTATAGGCGGTTTTACCCTATGCCACAATACCAGCCCGTTTCAGGTGTTTTAAAATTTATTTGAAAGTGATGAGACACACAGATTTGGGGGTGGTGGGGAGATCGTGTCTGCTGGTTTAATGCCCACTTGGCCACAACAGCTGGGACTAGGGCTCCATCCAGGTCTACCATGTGGTTGGCAGGAACTCAAGTACTTGGGCCATCATTTGCTGCCTCCCAGATACATTAGGAGAAAGCTGGATCAGAAGCATAGGCAGGTCTCAGTTCTGGCCAGTCTACTATGGGATACTGGATGCACAGCTTAACCTGCTGTGCCACAGTGCCCACACCCCCGTATATTAACATTTTAACCTCCAAGATGATAGTGTTAGGAGGTGGAGACCTTGGAAAGTGATGAAGTCATAAGGATGGAGCCCGCATGAATGAGACTAGTGCCCTTACAAAAAGATTGCCGAGAGCTTCTTTGCTCCTTCTGCCAAGTGAGGTTAGAGCAGGAAGACTACTGCTTGAAACACCCACACTGAAGCTGCCAGCGTTTCGATATTTGACTTCCCAACTGGGAGAAATAAATTTCTGTTTGAAAGCCATGCAATTTATACTGTTTTGTTACAGTAGCCCAAATGGACTTTACGCTGAACAATTCCAAGGGCGCTCTTGCTATTGGCATTCATTTTATGGATCTCATTTTTCTTTAGTCTATTTCTTTTTGTCTCTTAGTAGATGTTAGTGACTTCTATGTAATTGGTAAAAAAAAAAAACAAGCTTACACTTTTTTTGTTGTCACCATGACAAAACTGTTCTTTCATTTTATTTCGTAAAATGAGCTGGAAGAAGAATCATTTTTTTTGCCTTTCTCAGGAATCTGCTGCCACACTTTATTTCTCTAGTCACTTTGATGATTACACGCAGTGATTTTTGTTCCCTATATTCAAATATGTACAGGCTTACATATTTTGGGAGAAAAACATCAACTTTGATAAACTTACGTTCTTTCCAGCTATGTGCTTCACTTCTTCCCTTTATTTAATAAATTTTGAAAGCTCACAGTGATGGCTCTCAGGTCTTTTATTATTCCTTTCCTCCTAACAGTGAGATTTTGGATTATTATATCCAAACTGTTGCTTTAAAGGACATCCTTCTTGTCAGTATTGGGTTTGCCCTGACTGTATTTAACCAGCATATATGTATTACTATTTTTGTTTTAATTTGTGCTCTTTGAAACTTGATATTTTTTTAAAAAATATTTATTGCTGGCGCCGTGGCTCACTAGGCTAATCTTCCGCCTTGTGGCGCCGGCACACTGGGTTCTAGTCCCAGTCGGGGTGCCGGATTCTGTCCCGGTTGCCCCTCTTCCAGGCCAGCTCTCTGCTGTGGCCAGGGGGTGCAGTGGAGGATGGCCCAAGTGCTTGGGCCCTGCACCCCATGGGAGACCAGGATAAGTACCTGGCTCCTGCCATCGGATCAGCGCGGTGCGCCGGCCGCAGCGGCCATTGGAGGGTGAACCAACGGCAAAAGGAAGACCTTTCTCTCTGTCTCTCGCTCTCACTGTCCACTCTGCCTGTCAATCAAAATAAATATTTTTTATTTTATTTTTTAAGTCTGAGTGAGTTACAGAGGAGAGAAGACACAGAGATATCTATCTTCCATTTACTGGTTACTACAAGCTGGGCCAGGCTTGAAGCCAGGGGCCAGGAGCCTCGTCCGAGTCTTCCATGTGGGTAACGGGGGCCCAGAAACTTGGACCATCCTCTGCTGATTATCCAGGCCATTAGGAGTCAAACTTGCGCCCATATGGGATGCTGGCTTTGCAGGTGGTGGCTTTACCCGATATGCCACAAAGCTTGCCCTTATTACCATTGATTTCCATTGAGATTTTCTTTTTTCTTTCTTTTCTTTTTCTTTTTCTTTTTTTTTTTTGACAGAGTGGACAGTGAGAGAGAGAGACAGAGAGAAAGGTCTTCCTTTTGCTGTTGGTTCACCTTCCAATGGCCGCCGCGGCCGGCGCGACACACTGATCTGAAGGCAGGAGCCAGGTGCTTCTCCTGGTCTCCCATGTGGGTGCAGGGCCCAAGCACTTGGGCCATCCTCCACTGCACTCCCAGGCCACAGCAGAGAGCTGGCCTGGAAGAGGGGCAACCGGGACAGAATCCGGCGCCCCGACTGGGGCTAGAACCCGGTGTGCCGGTGCCGCAAGGCGGAGGATTAGCCTATTGAGCCACGGCGCTGGCCTTTTTTTTTTTTTTTATTGAGATTTTCAACAGTCTCCCTGTCGTCATGCTTCATGTTAGTATGCTGTTCTGATTTTCCCTTCCTTCCTGTGACTCTTCTGTTTTCCTTCTGGTTTCATGATCCTGTTAACTGTAATTTCTGTTAGTACTTGGCCCTCTGATCTCTGTCTTCTCCAAGTGGACATTTTATATGCTGGCGACTCCAAAGCATGTATTCTCCAGGTCTGTAGCTCCAGTGGTTTACTGAATGTTTCTATTGGAAAGCTCAAGAAATTTCTCTCACTTCTAGATTTGTTGTTGGCCAACCTCCCACCTGATCCCAGGTTTTCTGTTTGTTTCATCACCTGCATACTTAAATCTTGAAGTTGTATCTGTTGCATGCTTTCTCTTTATTTCCTGTATCGAACAATCAGCACAATTCTGTATATTACTCTTTACTGGGTCTCCCTTTGTCTTGGGATTTTGCATTGTTTATTATTTGCCCTTTCTAGCTTTAGATTGTCCTTCCTTGAATCCACCCTACATGTGGCTGCCAGAATAATTTTCCTGAAATCTTTTAAAAACCTCTTGCTTCCTAACTATAAGCCTGAGGAGAGAAACTGTGTAATTGCCCTTTGCACTCTGTGTTATGCCAAGTAAAGTGAATTGAACTTGCTCAATAAATGTTTGAATGTATCACCGTTTGCCCAAAAATTTGAATGTCTTCCAGTTTTCTGCAGAATAAAGTCCAAGTTTTCCTGCCTTTTAGACCGTTTCAAATTGCATTTTGCTTTTTCAATCTTATTTCTAACTCCCTAACATTAAAAAACTGGTATTTCCACAGTAATATTCCGTGCTCAGGCACAACTCTATGTATTTTTCCTTTTCCTTGCCTATCAAAGCATATTCAGGAATGTTTGCCCTGTGCCAGGCACTGTTGTAATCTCTGGCATTATATTAATGAACAAAACAAGACAAAGTCCCTGTTTTCTTGAGCTTATGTTTGGAAGAAGGGACACAGTAAAGAAACTTAGGGTGTTAGGAGGTATGAGTACAGTGAAAAGGAATAAAATTAGCTAGCTAGGTAGAGTGGTGGGAAGTGGCTGGTAGTTTGGGTGTCCTGGAGTGAGGGAGCGGGGCATACATTTCTCTAAGAGAAGAGCTTTCTAGACGGGGGACATGACGTGTAGGATCTTAAGGTGGGAACATGTTTGGCTTGTCTAAGGAGTTACTGACTTCTGTGGCTAAATAGTGACTAAAGGGGGTTTATAGATGAGCTGAGATAGTGGAAGGTAGCTTATACTTCAAATGTTAAGCCTTTCGTTGAAGAAGTGTTCTTGATGACCTAATTTTGTTAATTTAAACCTCTCAACCCATATAGCAACTATGGAAGTAAGTTTTTTTTTTTTTTTTTTTTTATTGTGACTGACAGGAATGTATTTTACTTGGTAATTATATATACACATGTTATATGCATGCATGCAGCTACATAAGAGAGCATGTATGTGTATGATACTAAACTTACATATGCTGATATATTTATAAATGTTGGCTTATCCCACTAATATAGTTTCATAGTTGGCTAATGGGTAATGACCCATAGATTGGAAAGCACTTATCTATGATATATGTCCACTTTAAAAAACCAAAAAAATCTATAGACTGCTTTTGTGAGAAGACACACATTCTTTCAAGTTGTAGAATACTTTTGGTTAAAAATTATGACTTCAGTTTTTTTGTGTGTAGGTTTATAGTGTTTGTGATTATCCTGAGTTGACTCTGCTTATCTAATTTAGTAAACTTCTTTTGAGTGGTATGCTAGAAACTGTTACATACTAACACACATGTGAAAATGAAGTAAACCCTGCCAGACTTCCCAAGGCTTATGGGGGAGGAGAGC